TTTCACCTTTAGGGCCTATCTCTTTAAATAAGCATTTTTAGGTCACCTGAAGGAATACTGCTTTACGTGTTGAATTGTGTTTATCAACATTGCTGTGAAGTGCCTTTGGTCTTTCAAAGGTGCTACACCAGCGCACGTTGTTGTAATATTCTGTTTTCTATGACCGAGGTGGGATAGAGATTTACTGAGAAGATAGACCTTGGCTGACTTACTGAGGGAGAAAGGAATAGGCTCTGAAGGTCCTCATATATCTTAAGAAGTTGGAGAAGGCCACTCCCTGCTAGTCTGTTGATCTGAATGGTGAGGGTTTCACTCGCTGTTGAGCCACTTCTGACAGTGACAAATTGCAGCAGCTACCAAGCGCACTCAAGGGTAACCTTTGAATAAAAGATTACGTCTGCTAAGGCATTTCAGTGGTAGAACCCTCCAGTAATGTGACAGCCTGTATGATTTAGCTGGCTACTTTTACGATAATGCAAAATTAAAGTCTGCAATAAGACGGACGGCCTGTTTCCCTGGTGGGGACATAATCCGAACAGTGGAGCCGGGGATATGAGGAACAGCTTTTTCATGCACAGACAGTGCTGTCAAAATTTGGAACCCTCTTGTACAAAAGGCGATTGATGCAACCGAGGATCAACTCCATGACTGAGGGAGATGGATTAGCGTTCTGGGGAAGGGTCACCGGACCTGAAATGTTAACTCTGTGACTTTTTCTTCACAGGTCCTGCCAGACCTGTTGAGCTTTTCCAGCAACTTCTGTTTTTGTTTTGGATTAATGTTCTGGTTGGGAACAATGGTGGGGTAAATGGAACTGAGGTACAGGTCAGCCTAAAAATGCTGAGATTGTATGAGATAAATATTGTCCTTGACATCAGGGAGGATGTCCCAGTCTTCTTTGTATTGTTGCTGTGGGAAAGCAGGGTCCCTGGTTTAAGATCGCATTCTAAAGGTGATGCCTCCAGCAGTGACTCCCTCAGTATTGCACTGGATCGACAGAATGAAGTTACTCAAGTCCCAGGGAGTGGGATTGTAAACCCACTAGTTTCTGGCTGTGAATTGGGAGTACTGACCCCTTCAGGCAGGGCCAACACCAAATAGAATCGAGTGAAAAAGAGACTTGTGTAACTCCTTCCACGACTACATGACATCCCAAAGCATTTTACAGCCAGCGATGTGTGTTTGAAATGCAATTTCTTGTCTAATGGAGGAATCACGGCAGCGAATTTGCGCCTAGCAAGATCCCAGCAACATGTTGATGAACGTGTAAATTATCTTAGAGATATTGGTTAAATGCATAAGCTTGTAAAAGAAAAAAGAATGAGAGGGCAAAAATTTAAGAGCGTAGGTTTAAGGTGAGAGGGGAAAGATTTAAAAGGGCCCTAAGAGGCAACTTTTTCACTAATACGGTGGTGTATGTATGGAATGAGCTCCCAGAGGAGGTGGTGGAGGCTGGTACAATTACGACATTTAAAAGGCATCTGGATGGGAACATGAATAGAAAGGGTTTAGAGGGATACGGGCTAAATGCTGGCATGTGGGACTGTATCAGTTTGGGATGTTTGGTCAGCATGGACGAGTTGAACTAAAAGATCTGTTTCCGTGCTGTACAACTCTGTGACTGTGTGGGTAGTTCGGGGTCTGGAATGCGCTGCCTGGAAATGCGGTGGAGGCAGGATCAGTTGGGGCATTGGATATTTGGGTAGAAATAGTGTGCAGGGATATGTGGAAATGGAAGGAGATTAATACTGGATAAAAGAACCGGTGCAGCACGATGGGCCAAATGGCCACCAACCACACCTAAAAATGCTGAGATTGTGCGAGATAAATATTGTCCTTGACATCAGGGAGGACATCCCAGTCTTCTTTGTATTGTTGCTGTGGGAAAGCAGGGTCCCTGGTTTAAGATCGCATTCTAAAGGTGATGCCTCCAGCAGTGACTCCCTCAGTATTGCACTGGATCGACAGAATGAAGTTACTCAAGTCCCAGGGAGTGGGATTATAAACCCACTAGTTTCTGGCTGTGAATTGGGAGGACTGACCCCTTCAGGCAGGGCCAACACCAAATAGAATCGAGTGACGGAGCAGGCGTGGCTGGCTAAAAGGCCGTGACCCTGAATGGTGGGCTGGATCGGCCTGTATTGCCGATAACACCAGGACAGGTGGGACCCAGCGGAGCTGGGAAGTCTGCCGAGAGGTTTAGGCAGGTTAGGTGAGTGGGTGAAAACTGAGTACAATGTAGGTAAACGTGAACTTGTCCTTATTGGCAGGAGGAGTAGGAGAGCAGCATATTATTGAACGATGTGTTCTCTGACGCCAAGGATGATGCCGACTTTGCAAATGCGCAACTTTTTAAAAATTGAAAACTCTGTTTTGTTTAACTCTTTATTTCTCTTACCTGATATTCTACGTCATTAAAATGGTAGTGATTGGTATTTGTCACTACAGGCAGTCTCCAGATTCTGAAAGGATTTGAAGTCTGTTCACGAGACAATTTATATTCAAATTGGAATGCAATTTAGGACAATATAAAGTAGCTGTTTGTAAAGACAGGAAACTTGTGTGTATTGGATCTTTAAACCACACACCTGTGTGGGATTGCATTTGTAAGTATGAGCCTTTGTAAATCAGATGTTCATTAATTGGGGAGCCCCTGTGTATTTGCTGCTGCTATGTACATACTTCCCATGACAGCAAACACAACCATTGTTTAAACAACGGACCATGATCATATAGAAAGGTGGTCTTACAGCCATAGAGTCATACATCACGGAAACAGGCCCTTCAGCCCCACCGGCCCATGCCAACCAGGTTTCTGAAACTGAACTAGCCCCATTTTCCTCCATTTGGCCCATAACCCTCTTAAACTTTTCTATCCAGGTACCTGAAAATATGTCTTAAATGTTGTAATTGTACCCGTCTCTACCACTTCCTCTGGCAGGTCAGTCGACACACGCACCAAAGTGAAAAAGTTGCCCCTCAAGTCCCTTTTAAATTTTTCCACTCTCACTTTAAACGTATGCCCTCTAGCTCTGGAGTCCCCTATCCTGGGGAAAATACCTTGGCTATTCACTTTATCTATGCCCTTCGTGATTTTACAAACCTCTATAAGGTCACCCCTCAGTCTCCAACTCTCCAGTGAAAAAAGTTCCAGCAGCCTATCCAGTCTCTCTTTATGACTCAAAACTTTCAGTCTCAACAACATCCTTGTAAACCTTTCTTACACCCTTTCCAATTGAATAATATCTTGCCCGTAGCAGAACGATCAGAACTGTACGCAGTACTCCAAATGTGGCCTTAACAATATCTTGTACAGCTGTAACATGACATCCCAGCTCCTATACTCAATGCGCTGATCAATGAAGGCAAGCGTGCCAAAAGCCTTCTTCACCACCCTGTCTACCATTTAACAAAGGTGACCGAAACAGGTCCTGGACCCCATGTGGGGCTATGAGTAGCACACCTATGGGTAGAAATGTTTATTTCATTAAACCTTGTATGGTAACTCCTGTATTCTTGTTCTGCCTTTCTATTGTGTAGAAAATTCCAGAGGGGCTGCTTTTCTTCCTGAATACTCCTACTGCTTTTCCCTCTCTAACCCTTCCTGAATGGACAATCCAAACACTGATCCCTCTTTGTTTCAAAATAAAATCTTCCTTGTCCTGACTGTAACTTTATGAGCCCTCCCAATGGGTTTATCGGTTGGCATTGTTGGGGATCATAGTTTGTAGTGCCCTATCTGCCCTTGCCTGACCTGTCTGCCATTTTTCGGGGAGGGGGATCGGCAGGTGGTGGGGGCGGGTGAAATGATGGTGGTCCACTCACCCTTCAGTTGTGGCCCATCCCTAATTGCCCTTGAACTGGTTGCTATAGAGGGCAGTTAAGAGTGAGCCGCATGTCACCCAGACCAGGTAAGGATGGCAAATTTCCTTTCTAAGCACATTAGGGTTTTAATAACCAATAAGAAAAGAGAAGGGTAGGGAACGAGGGAGGGGTTAAATCAAAATGGAGTTGTAAGGGGAAATAATGCACCTTAGCCCCCATGGTGTCCACTGGTCTCATAATAACTCAAAGGGTGGTGGAAACTGGTTTTCAAAGGAGCGTTGGATCATTATCCTGCTAGCACTAAATAAATTGCTCTTTCAAAATGCCATATTTATGAGATCACTGATGTCCCGTAGCGCACAAGGCTACAGGCCAAGTGCTAAAGAAAAGCAGAAAAAAAACTGTGGATGTTGGAAATCTGAAGCAACAACAGAAATTGCTGGAGAAACCCAGCAGGTCTGGCAGCATCCATGGAGTGAGAAACAGAGTTAGCGTTTCAGGTCCAGTGACCCTTCTTCAGAACAGTTCTGAAGAAATGTTAACTCGGCTTTCTCTCTCCGTAGATGCTGCAGGACCTGCTGAGTTTCTCCAGCAATTTCTGTTTGTGTCCTAGAAAGTGGGATTCGAGTAGATTGGTGCTTGATAACTGGCACAGACATGATGGGCTGAAGGGCCCTTTTCCATTCTGGACCTATTTTGTGATTCTGTAGTAAAAGCCAAGCCATAGAGTCATCAAGATGTACAGCATGGAATCAGACCTTTTGGTACAACTTGTCTATGCTGACTGGATATCCTAAATAAATCTAGTCCCATTTGTCAGCATTTGGCCCATATCCCTCTAAACCCTTCCTATTCATAAACCCATTCAGATGCCTTTTAAATTGTACCAACCTCCACCGCTTCTTCTGGCAGCTCATTCCATACACGCACATCCTCTGCATGAAAAAGTTGCCCGTTAGATCCCTTTTATATTTTAACCATGTCACCTTAAACCTGTGCCTTCTAGTTTTGGACTCTGCTATTCTGGGGAAAAGACCTTGAGTATTCACCTTATCTGTGCCCCTCATGATTTTAATAACCTCTTTAAGGTCACCCCTCAGCCTCTGACGCTCCAGGGAAAATAGTCCCAGCGTATTCAGCGTCTCCATATAGCTCAAACTCTCCAACCCTGGCAACATCCTTGTAAATCTTTTCTGAGGAGGAATTGGATTAATTAGGCAGTTCTTTCAAGCAGCTTCCAGTGCTGTCTGATTCCCGTTCTTTGCTAATCTAGCCTTTTCCTGGTGATTTCATGGTTTGAGCATAATATATTTCCAAATTAAGACACCTCACATTAATGTTCACCAACTCATACCAAATAAAAACTTATGCAGTACAGCTGAAATTCTATAGAGGGAATTTAGTTCTTCAAATATATGTGGATTAGCCAACCAACACTTATTGCGGATAGCTTAGGACTGCACACTGTAGAATTTGCATTATTAACTTGCATTATCTTGGTATCTGACTGATGGTTCTGATGAGTGCCATGTCTTCATACTCCTGATTCTGTGCCTCTCTGGCCCGGTCTGTACTCAGAGGTAACGCACATTCTCTGAAAGAAGTCAGGTTGGATTCCTCTTGACCTCTGAGAGCTTTTTTACAATTCGGCTTGCTCTTTGAATGCTTATGGACGCACACGAAGACCTAGAATTAATTTCAGTTGCAGTATCAGTGCATTATTAATATCATACCTTTCACTTCTCACCGCCTCAAAGAGTATCCACTGAAGTTTTCAAGAATGGGGTTCAATCACATAGAAGTTACTGAGGGGACTTCATAGAATTCATACTGTGCTGGAAGAAGCCATTTGGCCCATCAAGTCTGCACCAGCCCTCTGAAGAGCATCCCACCCAGACCCTCACCCTATTCCCATAACCCCATATTTATCATGGCCAATCCACCTAACCTGTACATGTTCAGCCTGTGGGAGGAAACCGGAGCACCCGGAGGAAACCCACGCAGACATAGGGAAAACCTGCAAACTCCATACAGTCACCTGTGGCTGGAATCAAACCCGGGTCCCTGGCGCTATGAGGCAGCAGTGCTAACCACTGAGCCACCGTGCCAACTTGACAAATAGGTAGCTGAAAGGACATTTCCTTTTTTTTAGGAGAGATGGGAATTAGGAGATGCAGTTTTAATTTAGGAGGGTTTCCTATTCAAAAATGTTTCCTCACCTCCTCTCTAAATCTGCTGCTCCTTACCAAGCTCTCAGTTTTGAATCTTTGGAATTCTGTAATAGATTGTGACTACACTGTCACTGAGTGCGTTTAAGGCTGAGATAACAGTAGTCTGATCTTGTAAGGAATTAAGGGATATGGGGAGTGGATGGCCAAGAATGGTCATGATCATATTGACTGGTGGAACAGACTTGATAAGCTGTGTACTGTGTGTGTGATCCAGAGACCCAGTTAATGTTCTGGGGACTGGGTTCAAATCCCACCAGGGCAGATGGTGGAATTTGAATTCAATTTAAAAAATGTGGAATTAAGGGTCTAACGATGACTATGAATCCATTGTCAATTGTTGGAAAAACCCATCTGGTTCACTAATGCCCTTTGGGGAAGGAAACCGCCATCCTACATGTGACTCCAGACCCACAGAAATGTGGTTGACTCTTAATTGCCCTCTGGGCAATTAGGGATAGACCTAGCTAGTGATGCCTTCATCCCATGAATGGATAACAAAAATGGCACAGATGTATTGATGGAACTGGGGATCAGTCTGCTCAGTTGGCTGGATGGCTGGTTTGCAATGCGGAGTGATGCCAACGGTGTGGCTTCAATTCCAGCACCAGCTGGGATTACCATGAAGGACTTTCCTTCTCAACCTCTTCCCCTCACCTGAGGCGTGGCGACCCTCAGGTTAAACCACGACCAGTTGCCTCTTTAATGAGAGAGTACCCATTGGTAACTTTACATTTATTTTAGAAAATGTTGGATAAGCATGTGATGGACAAGGGAATGGAGGGTAATGTTAATTGGGTGTGATGAAATAACATGGAAAATAAGAATGGGAGGAGGCCATTCAGCCCTTCGATCCTGCTCCACCATTCATTATGACCATGTCTGATCACCCAACTCAATGCCCTGTTCCTGCTTTCTCCCCATACCTTTGATCCCTTTATCCCCATACCTTTGATCCCTTTATCCCTAAGCACTATATCTAACTCCTTCTTGGAAGCGTTCAATGTTTTAGTCTCAGCCACTTGTCAATAAGGTAGGAAGGAGCCCACGTAGAGTACAAACGTGAGCCAAACCAAATAAGTAATAAAAAGCTTGGATTTATATAATGCCTTTCACAGCAGCCAGATATCTCATGAAGCAGTTTACAAACAATGTACAAGTAGCTCTCTTATAATGCAATAGTTGTGTTCTTGTGTGACTATAGCAAATTGGTTTACGGGGAAATTGCTACAGAAAATCGCTATACTGTTCGGTAGAAAGTTCGCATTATACAAACAGAGTCCAATTCGCATTAATGAAGCATGCATTATAGCAGAACTACCTGTAGTGCTTCTTCTGAAGCCATTTGTGTAGGAAACACAGCAATGATCCATGATTAACATGGATTGAGGGATAAACCAAGATGCTGGGAATAATTTGGAACTGTGCCATAGAATGACTTTTGGCAGGCAGTTGGGAGCTTCGTTCAATGGCTCATGCAAAAGGTGTCATCTTCAGTACTGCAGCACTTCCTCGCTTAATTGTCAGCTTTGATTTTGGTGTTCAAGCCCCAGATTGGAGGATTATGAACCTAGAAACTTGTGATTCAGAGGCAAGTGTGCTGCTAACTCTGTCACAGGTAATTAGACATAAAGGAATTGTCACTGTGCTGTAAATTCTACATAATTCTATTATGGGCAATGATCCATGTTGACTATATCCCCTGCTAACAACACATGGATGCTTGATAACACTATGAACAATTGTGATAATTTGATTTAAATTACTTACGCCAAGTAATACCGTCGTAATAGTGACAGCTAGGCTATAAGCTAAAATGGCTAGAAAAATTGTGTGTTGCCACATCTCTTGCGGGGCCTTCGATGTCTGACATGAATTTGACTCTGAAAATAAATTGTAAGAGACTTTAGCAACAGAAAGAGACATTAGGCCCAATAAACTTGTCCACCTCGTGGACAATCCTTCCAAACATGTGACTTCTAATCGAGGAGAACGACATGGAAATAGTTGGAATTTCCTAGGTGTGCAATCATATTCATTAGCGAATGACTGTCAACAATGATGCTAGAAGATAGGACAACAGATACAATAGGAGCTCTACTACCTGTAAATTCCTCTTCCAACTGTGGACAGTTCTGGTCACGCTACTAAAGGAAGGATATTATTAAATTGGAGAGGGTTCAGAAAAGATTTACCAGGATGTTGCTGGGAATGGAGGGTTTGAGTTGTAAGGAGAGACTGGATAGGCTGGGACTTTTCTCACTGGATTGTAGGAGGGGCTGTGGGATGACTTTATGGAAAATCATATAAAATCATGAGGGGCATAGATAAGTTGAATAACCAAGGTCTTTTCCTTCGGGTGGGGGAGTTCAAAACTAGGGGACATATTTTTAAGGTGAGAGGGGAAAGATTTAACAGAGACCTGAGGGGCAACTATTTCACACAGAGGGTGGTTTGTCTATGGAATGAACCACCAGAAGAAGTAGTGGATGCAGGTACAGTTGCAACATTTAAAAGACATTTGGATAAGTACATGAATAGGAGAGGTTTAGAGGGATATGGGCCTAATGCAGGCAAATGGGACGAGTTTTGTTTGGGAAACCTGATCGTATCGGAGGAGTTGAATCGAAGGGTCTGCTTCCATGCCCTTTTCTGATTTGGAAATACATTACCGTTCCTTCAGTATTGATGGGTCAAAATCGTGGAATTCCCTGTCTAACAGCATTGTGGGTCAATGTACAGCACATGGACTGAATTGGGTCCTGAAGGCAGCTCACCACCACCTTCTCCAGAGAAATTTAAAGATGGCCAACAAACTCTGGCCCAGCCAATGATGCCTACATTAGAACCACGACAATAAAACTTCAATCTAAACCTAAATCTACATCCATTGAACGAGTTAAAAACACACTTATCCTCATTGCCACTATTACCCTCAATTGTTCTCAACCAACGAGTGGTCAATTCTCTTTTGAACTGTTGAAATGCTAACCTCTTTCTCCCTCCACAGGTGCTGCTTGACTGCAGAGAATTCCTAGCATTTTCCATGTTAATTGCAGATTTCTGGCATCTGCAGGAGTTTGCACTTGACCTTGACGTATTCACTTTAATAAACTTCCTCAGTAAATCGTTCTGCTGATTTACTGATTTTTTCACTTGTTGAATCGTTAGGTTTTACAGACCCTATTATCTTTTATGTGCTCACACGACCCCTATCTTTGTAGATTCTGATAACCCAGCAAACTCCTATTTACCTCTGCATTTCTCTGTCTCTGGCCTCTTGTTCAGTTCCTCTCTGTCACTATTGGTGTCGTCATTGATCTAGACCCCATTACGAAATTCCCTCTTTAAACTCCAAAGCTTCTTTAATCCTCCTGCCGCCTATCTTTTAGACCTCCTCAATTACTGATAGAGGAAACATTTAGTCGCAACTCTTAATATTTCCGTTTTCTTCCCTCATCTATGCCTTCGTTACCAATGGATCGAACTATTTCAGGGCAGTCCTGCCTCACCTCCCATATACTACCTTTGTTAATTTGAGGTCATCCAAAATTCTGTTGCCTGTGCCTTCACTTTGAACCAGATCCCGTTTGCCTGTCGTCCCCATGTTCATTGACCTAAATTGCTTCCTAGACTTGAGGTTAAAATTTCTATCCTTGTTTCCAAATTCCTCCATGTTTTCACTTCTCATTACAGCATAAGAACCAGGAATAGGCCATTCAGCCTCTCGAGCCTGTTCTGCCATTTATTACGATTGTGGGCAATCTCATCTCGGCCTCAACTGCACTGTCCTGCCCGCTCCCCATAGTCCTTCAACCAATTACTAATTAAAAATCTGGCTATCTCCTCCTTAAACTTCTTGTGTATCATTGTCCAATACATTCTGGGATAGTGAGTTTCAGATTCATGACTGTGAGAAGTAATTCCTCCTTATCTCTGCTTTAAATCCATCTCTCTTTAGCCTAAAACCATGACTTCTCACTCTTTATATCTCTTACCTCTATTATTGCCTCCAGTCCCATTGGCCTCTGAGATCTCTGCTCTCCTCTAAGTCTGGCATCTTGAGCATTTCCAAATTTCATTGCCCCACCTCTTCTTCTGTTGCCTAGATCCCATTGTTTGGAGTACCCTCTTCCCTACCTCACATTCTTCCTCTGAGATGGTGCC